TTTAGCATTTTTTTTCGAAATTAGGTTTGGAAAACATTAACCGATAACCGACATTTACAAAAGGAAATGCAGATCGAACTATACAGCTTGAAAAACACAACAATCGTGTCAGCATAGAAATTCACTACCAGAACGCTTCCGCTGCAAAAACTACAATATGTAGCTTATGGGTTATAAGTATGAAAACTTCAGCGGAAATGATCCCAACATCATGGTGTTAATTCACTACTAACATGCAATGTGTAAGGCTGTCTTTGTTTCTTCAACGTCCAAATCCAATATAGAAATATAGAGTGATAGTTCCTGAATTCTGCTGAAATCTATAAAGGAATCATTACGTTCTTTTCTAGGAGAAAAAAAACGAGGACTGGATGACGTGAAACGTTGTAAACAGTTTCCTTTTCATTCCCAAGAATGAATTTCACTGCGACAAAAGAAAAACTATGCTTTCGTTGCTTTGCCAGCTTCGGCTGATCACTTTCAATAAAAAAAAATGCGGTCATTGCTTCCGTTCAGAATTTCAATCTGGATATCTTAACATGTTCAGAAGCACTGAGGATTTTTTTTTGGCAAACAGCAAGTTTTTTCTTTTGTGTAAAAGAGAATCGTTCTCTGAAAACAATCTCCATTCAGCTACAAGTAATATTCTCTGAAAATATTTTTAGTTGTAGTTCTGAATGCTACGTTTATCAACGTAAAGCAGACTTGGTTTGTGCAATCGCACAAATTTGGAGAAACTGCTATTTTCCAATTTTCTTACCAATAGTATGTCCATTATTTCGAATCTAAGTCATATAGCGCGGTTTTTGTGAACTATTTAGTTGTCTTGCAAACATTTTGCGAGGTTTTTTTTGTGTAGGACATGTTGAGAATGCAGCGAAAATGAGCGATGTAGATCATACAAAAGGTTTTTTTTGAGTTGACCAAGAGGTTTTGAAATCTAATCCGAAATAGGTGGAACGTTATAATTTGCTAAAATCTCCTTTTTTTCGGATTTGTGCACAATCACAGCCTATCGTTTTGAAGTTAACGAATGCTTGAGAATGTAGTGTTTGGTTTTTCGAAAAACATGAGTAAATTAAGTAGATTTAGAGCATTATGTCGTTTGTATTTGGAAACTTTTGCGTTGGCTGCTGCTGAAATAGGTTGTGGCAAAACTTGCGAGACAATCCAAAATGGGAATATGAAATTTCAGCTATAAGAAGAATACACACTCATTAGCTTACTACTTTGAATTGGCAAAAAGAACAGCATGTTCCTGCAAAAATCAAATATTTGTACCTTAGTTGTCATAGATTTCAGCAACACTATGTTTTGCTCAGAATCATAAATTCCAGCACAAAATAGTGTACATTTTCCCCGAGTCTTTGAAAAATTCGAAAGAAAATTTTTTTTTGAAAGTTTGAATTTGGAATTTAGAGCAGGAAATATTATCAAAATTGTCTTGAGTCGTCTACCAGGTTGAAGCGAATTCCTTCTAAGACTGGCAAATACGTTCTGAAAAAAAAATTGCGAAGTGAACTGGTAACAGTTGGCGAGGGATAACTGCTTTGGGATGATCTCGCAATTGAGGACTTTAGGTCTCGAGAAAAAATGAAGTATATTTTAGAACTTATTTTGATCAGCCTTAGTTTGTTCACATGTATTTTTTTTCAGAAGTTATTAGATCAGTCTATGAGCTATGTAATCTGTAACAAACTAACGTTTAGCAAATCTCGGAATTGAAACAATCTGTTTCTTAACACAGAGTGGGTTTTTTTTTGAAGCGGAAACTTAGCGGTTAATTTGGGGCGATTGTACAAATTCTGTGTTACTTGGGATGAATACGATCTGATTCAAAAAAAATCACTTTCAATCACGATTCCAAGGGAACTCTTTTGCAATAAGTTTACTTATGACTCCGAATAGATGGAGGATGATTTTTAATGTTACAAAGGTTCGAATTTTCCGAGAGATTGTTCGATATAAAAAAACATTCACGGAAATGTTCTGTGAAAACATATATAATATATTTTCTATTAATACAGAGCTTTATAATACTAATTTCTAGTACGGTGGAGAAGGTCGCTAAAATTTCTGCATTATCTTGGTAGTGTGAAGAGTATGAGTTGTGGCTCGCACTTTGCAATATGCAGAGAAATTGATTATCTCGAAAGGCAAAAAGCAGATGTTATGAACAAAATTTGATTTGGGGATTTTTTTTGGAAATTTAAATTGTAGCAATCTTCTTTTGATTTCTTCTTTGGAAAAAAAAACTATGTCTGTACGGGTCTACTCTATGGCTTAGTTCACACAATTTGTGAGTGTTCCACTAGGTTGTAGAGAAAATCGTTTGTAGCCAGTCATTGGCAAGTCAACAGCTTGTGCATAGCATACAGTAAAGCAGGTTTTTTTTGTAATAATGTATCTACTTCAGTAGGGTTTAAAGCGCATCTTTGTGACTATCTTGGATTTTGCGGACAAAAAGCTATTGGCATGTTTTTCGCCTTACAGCAACAAGAAATCTCCTCACTTTTGAGTCATGCTAACTGTTCCTTATGGTTGAGGCTAATAGAATCGTCATGGTTAACTCGACAAAGCGAATGAGTATTCTCTTTTGGCTAGCATGGCGGGCACGGAATCTGACGGATGCTTGAGGTTTTTAATTCAGCATCATCAATGACTAAAGTGATAGAAGCTGTAACAGAGATGATTATGCTGTTAACAACAAGTGTTAGTGCTTCTAATACCACATCATTTTTTTTTCGTGCTTGGTAAGAAAGCGGATGCCTTTTTTTAGATGAAATTCACTACTAGCCACCGGTTAGACTTGTAGGAGGCATGCGACGAAACCGAGTGCAGATGCATCGTCGGTGTGGATGTTTAAAAATTTCCTAAAATAGGAGCACTAAAACACGCGCATCCACTAGGGCTTGTTTTAATGTTTCCAATGCTGATGTTCCTCCTTCCAAATAAACTCAACATTTTTGGGAAGAGTGGTTAATGGATGGCAATTAAGGCAAAACGTGCGTGAATCTTCGAAAGTACGATGGGACCTAAGAATGATTTTAGCGCTTTACTGTCTTTGGGGCGCGGAATTATATTAGCTATACTCTCGACCTTTCTTTTTTTGTGGTTAGGGCGTGTACTCTTTTTGCTGAATAGTACACCCAGATGCTGCACTCTAGATTGGAAAAAAATGCGCACATGAGAGGTCAACTCTATTCCAAAATTTTTTTTTGTGATTGCAAGCGAAGACCAGTGAAAGGTCATTGATCTTTACTAGATCCTTTCTTTGCAAAAATTATGATAGAAGTTGACTTGCGTGCTAGGTCCGACTGAACGTTCCGTAACATTTATTCAATCTGGAGCTATATTTTATTTCTCTTTTGCAATGCGACACTGTATGGTCGCTTTTTGAATGTATGCCAGGAACAAATTTGATGCGAATAGTAGAGGACCTTTATAGGGACCTAATCGCCATCATGGATGACAGAAGCAGAATGGTACTTTCTCAAAAGTTGGAAAAATAAGTTTTTTTTTTCAAAAAGTAGTTTCGTTGATCTGAAGATCATCATTGTTACTATCTTTTTCAGATGGATGCTTATTTGTACAACTTGAGATAGTAATGCCCCCTAGGTAACTAGTGTATTAAACCAGATTACTTAAGAGTAGACGTAGCGGCAGATAACGGTCACGATTGTTGTTGCTAAACGCTTATCACAATCATAAAAGGTCAGTATGCGCAATTAATGCATTTGCTAGACCGTGGCGCGCAAATATTATTAGTCTGCGGCGAGGTCAAATGCTTACACCACTAACAAGCTGCTGCGCTACTTTATCACAGAAAAGATCGACACGTTCGGACAGTTGCACTCGTTTGTTATAATGCCTAGAAGGTCAACACAGCATTTGCGCTATATCACTAGCGACTCTAATTGATCGACTTATCCCATAAGAGGCTTTCTGTACATGGGCCAGTAGCTAGCTGGATCGAAGCAATCGACACAGATCTGAATTTTGCTAGCGGTTGCGAACAAGTCCATTGTCTTATTGAGGGAGAAAAAAAAAATCAATTGAAAATCACGGATCACGGTTGCAAAAAAATAAATCACGGCTCGCGGTATTTTATCTAGATATTCACGGATCACGGCTCACGGATCACGGAATCACGGACATGTATTTTTACCAAAAAAGTCACGGATAAGCTTTTTTCCAAAAAATCACGGCATTCACGGACTCACGGCTCGCGGTATTTAATCTAGATTTTCACGGATCCCGGTAATTTATTAAGCGAAAATTGACATAATGGGACTGTTCGCAGGACTGTATATTTTTATATTATTTTATTTTTCTGAAATGATTAGATATTTGTATAATTATTTGTAAATAAGTAAATAGAATGCTATAAAACTCACACACTCTCTCTCTCATTCGTTGGTGAGCGACTCCTTCCATACGATCGGAGGGTTGTAGAAGAGGAGGGGGGGGGAATTAGAAAATTTTCTTCTTTTTCAAAAGTTCTTTAGAATAAAATCACATCCTAGAATTCTAGATATCTCCCTGGGACTTCCATGTCAGGATAAAGGTCTGCAGGTCCTTTACCTGATGTGTAGCGGGGTTTACATTAGTCTTACTATAATGTTTAATATACAAGTTATATACAAAAGGGGAAAGGGGGAAAGGGGAAGAGGGAACCGTCTCCTGACGGCGGGCGGAGATCACTGCCAGAGGTTCGTTATCTTAAGCCAACCTCCATCGCGAGCAGCTGTTGGGTAATAGCTGCGTCCCGACAAACGCCTCGTTTGGTATGTGGATAATAACAAATTACTTGTGTAAATGCTACGTTCGCATTTAACATTCTATAGATTTTTAGCCTGTCACTAGTATGGCGCTTAAAGCTGAGCGGAGGTAAACATAGCTTCCTGTATACACAAATGTTCCTATATGGCCCAGATAAACATTTTGCATTTATACTCAAGTACACGTTCATGAACAAAGAAAGTGGAGCGGCAAGTAAGGCTAGCATTTATTATCGTTCTATTTTTTGAAAAATCTTAGATGTGCTTGGCAATGAACTTTTCAGATCCTTCAAGCATTTGTCCATATCTAAATGCTGTAGTTCTAGTCGCGATGTCAAAGCGAAGTTTTCTTCACCTAGAAAATAAGATTATCTTTTTTTATAGAAGTGGCTGGCTAATAATACCAACCAGTGTCTAGGCTGATTTCATTGGGATCAACACCACAAGCGCGCGATATGCGAACTCCTTTTCCATAGCTGAGTTCTTCGATAGCATTTTTGATTTCCGGTCACAGCATATCCATGATCATACCTGCAAGAGCGAAAATTGCGAATGTTTACTTTTGCGTCGAAAGCAACATACCCCTCATGAGATCTTGCATAAAGATACCTCAGGTTTTTGGAAATGCTCCCACTTCCATTTCTATGTGAGTGTCCAATAGTTGAACTAAGGTTCTGTAAGGAAATATCTACAATCGCAGATGTTCAAATCATTCTACATTTCCTGCACTATAAACCGAAGCCTGTTGAAGAGTCTTGATAGTTGATCCCAAATCTGTTTTTGCTAGCTGCCGAGCTGGAGCGAAAATTGAACGGAACCTGGTTGAAAACAACCGCTTTTCTATTTTTTGATTTCTTACCGTCTCTCTGTTTTTAGTATGCCTATAGTGGTCAGAAATTATACACTGACTTACCCGGCTCCGCCGTATGTTCCGAATAGAAAATTCCATTTCTCAACCGATCCGGACCAAACTTGGCACACATACACTTCGGGCCCCGGCGGGTGTCACAGTCCACTTTTCGTTATCGATCGATGTCAATTTTATCGATTTTTTGCAAAATTTGAGCTAGGGGGCTGAAATTTGGCAGAGGGGTGTAATCGAGCATGCTGATCACCCCCACGGGGGTGGTCAGCATGCTCGATTACCCTCCTGTGCCAACTCCCAGCCCCGTAGCTCAAATTTTGCAAAAAATCGATAAAATCGATATCGATCGATGACGAAAAGTAGCCTATGACACCCGCCGGGGCCCGAAGTGTATGTGTGCCAAGTTTGGTCCCGATCGGTTCAGAAATGGAATTTTCTATTCGGAACATACGTACAGACAGACATACAGACAGACATACAGACAGACAGACAGACAGACAAACAGACATTCAGCTTTATATATAAGATGTGCTCTGATATTCAGCACAGGACCTTTTCAGCTATTTGGACGACTTTGCTCCAGCTGCACTGCCATTTTTTACCACAAACGATTATGATTCGGCTTCTTAAGAAACTCGGCAGATACCAAAAGCAGAGGATAGCTTCTGTTATAGAATAAAGTCCAAAATATGACTCTGGAAAGTAAACTTAGGTAATAATTAATTAAATAAATTGTGTGTTATCTTTTTGAACTCAATGTCCATATACTAACTTTGTCCCCTTTAGTTTAGAAGTTTTGTCGCACAACAATAATTGCTAGCTACCTCAGGATGCCTCCATCGAATGAAGGCCGCATTTCTGCTTGAACAGTCAGAACGAACGATACAAATACTGAGGTTAAGTTTCGATTCGGATTGACTACTCGGAGATGCATTCGGTCACGTCTGAAAGATAAGCTGAAGTTGATGAAGTTTGATACAATATTCAGACTTTAAGCAATGATGTTATATTGCAGTCCGCCTATCGCAGAGTGTATCATTATAGAACTTGCTCACTCACTTTTCCAGAACAAGTGAAGATTTGGTGGCTATCAAAGATGGTCTACCTCTAGCTCCAACGTTCACTTGGAAGTAGCATTCCGTACAAAGCGTAGTTAGGAATTCACTAAAATTTATAATTTGCGAATAAATCAACAAATTTACCATTTACTCCCTCACCTTGAATCTGGTGGTATGACCGGGCTTGTCACCGGTAATTGCTCATTCATCCATTCAAAAGTCCAGTCCACCTAAAAAAATTGTACTGAACAGAGTATAGGCGCAAAAACGATTTATCCCGTAAAATATAAAAAGCAAACATTATTGCTACCTGATCAAGAACTTTAGTGATGCCATCTTCAAGCCAAATGGTTGCCAGATCGTCCCCGTTCAACTGTAGATCAAGGAGTGTCGCATTACTTGATTCCTCCAACAGTGAGACCACAGGTGTGTCATCCTGCAATGGTGATATTGATGAAACACTGAATTGCTCGTAAGCTCCAACATTTCGTAGCATTTCGGATGGATGCACAAAAATCGACATTCGCACGGAGAGCTTGGCAAAGAAGCGTCTATTAAAAACCAGAACAGACCCTTGTTTTTTTGTTTTAAAGCATGAACTAATTTATAGAAATGCTGGGTGCCATAGTGACAAATAATGGTGAGCTGTTCATCAGAACCTCGAAGTGACGACAGTGTTTGCAGAAGGCGATTTATTTAGAAAAAATGAGTTCTTGTAGATTTCTCCCGATTCTGACGCAAAGTAGTTGTACTTTTAGTCTTTTGATAAGGAGCCGAATTAACTTTCATAAATAATTACGGCCCAGTAGTCAACTTGATCACAGCATTTTGCTCTCAAGGGATGTATGAGTAATAACAAGAAAAAGCAAGGGACATAAGTTCACAATAAATACTTTTGCCGGGACTTAGCTTATATATTCACAATTAAGAGAATAGCGAAATTTTGAGGCGGTCGGGCAGGAGGCAGCAAAGGCTTACCGATTCTGCCTATGGAAGTACCTGGGAGCTTCAGAGTTTCTCACGCTTCTAATTACTTCTTCGCACCTCTAAGTATCTATTTGATTTGACATTAAGCTCATTTGTTCGTAAACTTTTTGAAAATGGTAGAATGTGAGATATAGGTTGTTCCGTGTTCAAATGAATGAACGGTGAGTTTCAGAAAAGGTTTATAGAATTAGCCAATCAACATCGAAGGCAATATAAAATCAGAATTTTGAACAGATGAGAAATTATAACTTGGTTTACCAAATCTTCAAGCCGGAATATTAAACATATTCTTGTAAGTCTTTTTCGTCTCACTACTTCCGATTGGAAACAATGACTTCAAAGACTGAGAGCTACTCTCTTTATCTTGCGGCTTTATTATTTTCTACTCCACAAATTTTGGAGGAAACTGCTTTGAATCCAATACTCTATAGGTTGAAACTTTGAGGAAGATTGCTAAGGTTGAAAGAAATTGCAAGATTACTTGGTCTACAGTAAAAAAACTCTTTAAGAAGATCTTTGTTTGATTATCTTGCTTGTAAAGTAATCAAAAGTGATCAAGATTTGATTAGAGGTAGGGCTCGGTAGAGGTGACTTATGAGCAAGCTGGATATTGTTTTTGGGGATAAAAAGTAAGGGGGTTTCTTTTTTGTGGCCGAAAAGACACAATATTTGCAATGTTTTTTAGTCGACGCTTCGTTTTTTGGAGATTTTCTTAGGAATTGTGGTCTAGGGTCAAAGGGGACTTCGCCTTTTGCATTTTTAATTAGCCACCTCGTGCCGAGGCCTAGTTAGAGGTGCGAGAAAGTCTGAGGCTCCGCAGGCAATTTCAGAAGCAAATGCGGCCAGCCTTTGCTGCCTCATGCCTGACGTCCAAATTTTGAGCATGTCAGACTGTCAAATCTCATAAAGTTTCACATAAGAACAGAATAGACCTTGTATCTATTGTTACGAAATAATATCAGTTGCAGAATATTCACTCAAATGCACACATGCCAATCAGCTTCAAATTCTAAAATCTCTATTTCCATCTCCTTGGGAGTGAAAATCCATAAGATACATCACTCAGCAGCTCCACACACTATATTCAGCTTTTTATATTTTGCTCGGCATTCTAGTACTGTAAGTGATCCTCTTTTGAAATTTGGAGAGAAATTCTGAGAATATGGTGGAGCAGTTCCATCATTTAAGTTTTCGTACTACTTCAAAGTCAAAAAAGTAGATTTGAAGAGTGCGGCTATTCATAATCTTTATTCTTCAGAATTGTTTTTGCATAAAGTAGCAAAGCTTTATCTGATCTTTGTGGACTTCGTATAAAGCAGCTGAAAGAGCGTCGTTATTTAAAAAATTTAGATCAGTACTTGGTTTTTCCTATAGGCAAAAGCAAATCACTGACAATTGATTGTCGTTGGCATCTAGCAATTATAAAACTTTTCAGCTTTGCAGATGTGAACGAACTTTGAGTAAAAGTATTTCCAATAACTAGCAAAGTGTAATTTTTGGACCACGAATAAGCTTCGGGAAGATCATGAATGTATATTAATGCATTCTCGTGGTATTCATAATTATTGTTTTATTATGTAGCATTGGTATTGCACATAGCTGACATCAAGCTAAGTGGAAATTTGATTACCATTGTCTTTATTCTATGAAACTTAGATAACACTTCGGCCTCAGAGCAAACACTCAGCTTATGACTGCTGTCCCAGCTTGGAATGCAAAAAAAACCTCTCCATTAGTGCCGAAGTCTCAGGAAAATGATAAAATCGAAAATGCAAGGAGGTAGTGAGAGCAGGATAGAGTTTTGAGATAGGAGATGTAATTGTTATGAAGAACAACGCCTTCAGCGTTTTATATCGCTTGACCTGACCTCGAACTTGGGCGTTAATCAAAATTATGATACTAGTGATTAACTGGAGTGGCAGTAACTCGGTCAACTAAACTCTATCATATCTACAACAAAAACAAACATTTTTATTTGTGTACTGCAAGAGTGGCAGACTTGTTCCTTCATTTTTGTCCACGAAATTCCACGTTCTATCGTAATTTCGTCGGCAAAGTTTGTGCAATGTATTCTGAAAACGAATCGCATCTTGTTGTAAATTTGGGACCGTTTCTTGAGATTTGTGACCTGAATGACCTGAATAGAAGAAGAAGAAGTGTTATGTAGGCAGGTGTGCTTAACACTCACATCTATCAGCTTATGAATATTCCTCATCAACTCTGTTAAAAAACTCGAATTAAGATTTTTAGTCATCAAGACCTTGCAATCATGTTGTCTGATTTATTACCTGAACAAACAACAGAGAATGGGTCTTGATTTTAAACGACATTAACTGCATTTGATTGCTCCAAAGCAGATTGTGTCCCAAAAATGAGCTAGCGGTATCGGATCTCTCCCAGTTCCCAACGTCTTTCGCTCTTGAACTATACATTTAACTAACCAATCTCCTCTCGTATGATACGATATTTCTGCACACTCAAGGTTTTTGGAGATTTTCATTTAAGGGAAGGCAATTTCTATATCGGGAACCTTGTTGAAGACTTGAAATCTTTTAACATGAAATTCTAGTCGATCTTGCTTCAAATATGAGCATTTTCGGATTTTATTAAGCTGTGGCACCATGAAATGAGGGATATTGACCAGATCGGAACATCACTGGTTTATTTTTTGAATTGAAGCTTTAGTTGAGTGCAGATTTCAGACTTTGATCAGCGAGACGTAAAAATGGTAGTAAGCTTTTCAGCTCCCTTGGTATCTTGATTACTGCCAGATTCGGCTAGCAGTGTGCGAAACCTTTCATAAACTTGTTATCGCAATCAGTAATGAAGGCGGCTGATTCAGATATTTGTTAAGATTCATGGTATCTTTGAGACAAAAAACAGCTAGGAGAGTTCCACCTCGAATTGTGAAGTTTGAGCTGGAATAGTCATCACACTGTGCATATGAGATAAAGTTATTTTACTTAATCTTCGAAATACTAGGCGAAAGTAATTTGCTTCTTTGAACAAGCGCCATTCTGCGGAATGAGGATTCGTGAAGAATATTCATAGCATTCGATGCGGTTTTCCTTGCCCTTACAAAACCCTACACTCTTATTGCAGCTTAGCCAACGAAACATTGAAAAATTACCAAAAATTACGACCCATGATTTGCCAAGTTCGCTATTTCTCTAAAATTTACCGCCTTCTCGAAGAAGTTTATGTAATGGATGAATAGTGCAACCCCTGCCGGATACTAAAGAAATTTTCTCTCCTTCCAGTAACTCCCGTAGTTTTTGAGAGAATTTCTATAAGAAGCACCGAATTCAAGCAGGTCTTCAAGAAACAATAAGTCAAACACCAACAACTCTTCAACATTTGAAACTTTCGAAGTTTATTGTGAACCAACACCAACTTTAAAAAACAAATGAGCCTTCTTGGAGTCAAAAGATCAAAAACAGATATCCAAGGTACAGCCCGAGGCGTACTCACATGAAATATGATTTTATTCGCAAAACACCTTAGAACTCAACAAAAACAACTTTCACAAAGATTAGTGGAGAGTATTCAAAAAATCGTGACGACGGCACGAAGCGCGCACAGGCACGTACTTCTGCATTTTTTTTGCTTTTCATCTTTACTCGAATGGTTTTCTTTACGTATGGTAGCAGCATATAGACTGAAAGTGACTGAACTGAGCATTGAGGTGATGCTTTTCGTATGGATGTTTTATGCTTCTTGGGCTCAAGGATCGCAGCCAAATGTATCGTCACGATTTCATAAATGACCTAAGAATATTGCTGAGTGACAACTGAGCTGCTCGCTGGTTGATGCCCTCTTAGGTTAGTGATGAATGGAACTTGAATCTGTTAGCATAAAAGAAACATAAAATTTTCTGAAATTCAAGAAAGAGAAATCAATTGTTTCATATCTCACCTTAAAAACCATTTTTACAAAAAAATGTTTGGTTCAAGCAGCTGCATCGCAATCTAAGATTTTGAAAACCCCCGTATAGAAAAATAACAAGAAGGACAAGAAGTACTGCTTGCAACTTCGCGAACAAACCGGCGGCAACTTAACGGCATTTCGTCGAAATTTGCGACCTGGTGCCGGCAGGATCAAGGCTCAGCACGCATTTTGGAACATTGAAAACGAAGTCCACATAACTTTGCGGAATTTTACGAAGTTCCCTCCAGGCCAAAGTCATGAAGAGATTGTTCAGTCAACATAACTATATGAAAACTAGAAAAAAGTTTTATATGAGTTGACATAATTAACTGAAGGCTCTGCTGCTAGGAAGGTACATTTCGGTGTTCAGACGTTGAAAACCTCTCAGATCAATATTCAACCAGATTTGTAGCCTATGACAATTTGGCGATGTAGCTGTCGCTAAATAGTAAAGGACGCCTTGACATGCATGTGAGTAGGGCGCCATATCTATCACTGCGTATGTTCATTTTTGGGGTCACAAATGAGGAGAGGCAATAGCTTGATTTGCTCTCGCTGTGTGATTGGTGGATGACGCCGATC